TAGGTGAAGATGGCCTGTGCGGTCCGCCCTCGCCTCTCTTGCCTCTGTTCGCCTTCTCATTGTCGACAGCGACTCATATCGTCTCCCCGGGAGCTGTAAGCCGGCCCCTACGGCCCCAGCCGACGGCCTCAAAGGACCGATGCCTCTTTCTGCCTCGTGACCGCACGGTCTTGTGAAACTGATCTCTTCTCCTCCACTCTCTTCTCTCTTTTCCACTTGTCACGGCAAGTGTTTCGGTGGCGGGTTGCAAAAAAAAAAAGACGAAAGATCGAGAGAAAGGTCCTCTAAGTAGAACTATTTTCGTTGCTTAGTTGGGAATCAATCAATCATTACTTGTCTCACAATTTTCTTATTGTGTTAGGAACTACACATTTTGGCTTAGCTACTTAAAATAAATTGTCAGCATGCAGAACACGGGGCTCGGTTTCCCAGTGTCACGCTCGGCGCAGCCGCACGCTTGCTCTGCCTAGTGTTCTCACAAACTTGGGAGCCCCGGCAAGGTACTTCAGCATCAACTTCAATAGCTCTTTTCTTCTGCTCGTTCTCCTGGGTAGGCAGGTCGAGTTGCGCATCTCCGAGGAGAGTGAGAGAGTGTGTGAGAGAGAGTCTCGGCCTCATTGATCGCGCGAACAAAGCGCAGACCGCAGCCTGCTAATTGGTTCCGGAACAAAACACATTGTCATGCTCGGCACGCGGGGGCGGCCGCCGCTGCAGCCGCCCTGACTTACGTTTGAGGCCACGGGATGGCGACGTGTAGGGGTTGTACTCCGCGTGCGTGACTGCGTATGCGCGGGCGTGCGTGATTCTGTCGCTTTGAAGTTTCTAATTAGCCCATCTAGTTGTGGTGTCGCTCTGCCGGAGGGGTAAAGTTGCGCGCCGCTCACGTCGCACATACGGCGGCGGTACCTGCATTCTCAGCACCGCCGCGAAGGGAACAGCGAGCTCTGCGTTTCCTCCTACCCGGAATCACACACGCTCCGCGCGGATATCCTGCTGCTAGCGGCACTCGAGGTTGGGGAGATGCAGGGGGCTTCTCTTGTTTCGCGGCGGTCTTCTTCCCAGAACCCAGAGCACGAGTGTGCGGCGTAGGGCGCCACAGCCCAAGTCCCCGAGCCGCAACCCACCCAGTCCCAGCCGCAGTAACAGCCGCAGCCCTAGCCGCAGATCCTGGTCAGCCAGTTCCCCACAGCCGCAACCCCAGCTGCATCCCCAGCCTTTAGCCCCGCAGCCGCAGCCCCACAGCCCCAACTCCAGCCCCCACTCCCAGCCCCAGCCGCGCTCCTCACGGTCCCGGGGGCCGGGCAGGCGGGCGGCGGCGCGGCCGTGTCGGGCGGGCGGCCTATGCCGCCCATCACAGGGGCCCGCCGCGGCCCGGGACGGCCGGCCGGCTACAACACGCCGAGGCTAATAAAAGTATCACGGTCGTCGCGCTATTAGTCTTGAACAATTACGTTAGCCAGGGGAGGGAGTGTAATTAATGTAAACTTGGAGGAGGCCTGCTTGATTAATGGAACGCACTTTCAACGCGCGCGCGCTTGTTAGGAGCAGCGCGGAAAGAAATAAGAAGTGCCCGGTTTCTCCGTTTCTCGCGCCGGGGCATCTTCCCGGAAGCAATGGCTATGCTCCCGCATTTCTTTTCATTAATCCTTTTCTCACCCCGCTGCTGAGATTATTTTTTCCCCTCCCGCAGCGCGCTCAACTCTCTCTTTTCCCTCTTGCTCTTCATCTCTGCGTCTGTCTGTCTCTCTCTCTCCCTTCCAATCCGTTCGCCGCCCCGAGATATTCTTTTCGTGTCGCGCGCAAAATGTAATCGCAGTCAACATAAGGGTGGCGGCCGGACCGGTGGTTAATCACACTGCGACAAAAAAATAATAACTTCGCGAAAAAAATGGTGAAAGGCGAGAGCAGATTGGGGTCGGGTGCAGTACCAAAGCCAACGCGGGGGAGGGCGGCGGGGACCATTGTAACGCCAGTGTTTGTAAATTATCCCTTTCTGAACAATACGAATAATTAATTTCGTTTCATCCCCCGGCTTGAGCCCTGAGCTGCCGCCCAATCCTTCAATTTTATGGCGCCGCTGCTGTCCGGCCCGGCTGGGGCTCCGAGGATGGCGGGTGCGTCAGGGGGTTTACGACGTACCCCACCCTCCCACGACCCCCCGCACCTTCTTCGACCCCTTCGGGATAACGGGTCGAAATTAATCGAGGGTCAACGGTCTACACGTTCGTCTTCCAGGTAAAGACGATGGCCATTTGGGTGATATGGTGGTGAGGAGTTCTTTACTCAGAAAAATCAGTGAACACACCCGCCAGAATAAATAGTAAAAAGAATGAAAAAACAGGAAAAATCAGAAAAGAAAATCAATAAAAGTGAAAGAAACCCCCCAAAAATCAAGGAATACCAGAAAATTTTTTGTGCGGTTGAATTTATAGTGAAGTACCCCTCTGGTGTCGGTGGTAGGCTACTTACGTTGACGGAGCGGCCGGGCTCGTCCTCGACGAGCTGCCTGGCGATGTCCTTGCACACCCGCCGGCTGCTGGACGGCACTTTGCCGTCGTCCTCCCAGTAGCGCGACGCGGCGTGCGCAAAGAGCGCCGCCGGCGTGGCGTGCGTCAGTCGCGTGTTGGTCACCACGCCCGTCGCCTTGCCTGCATCACCGCAATAACAAAAATATTTTCTTTAAAAAACGAAAATAATTTAAAGTAGTAAGTTGTTGTAGTACTTTGGAATGTGCGAACATGCACCCAGTTTACTAATTCATTTTGAATATTTTCGTGTGTACCTTCTTGCTGCGCCCAAGTCAGTAGCGAGGGCACGCGTGACGCGTACGTCGAGGCGCAGTTCTCGAAGCGCGCCCGGGCGTCCAGACCCACCGTCTCGAAGTTGGCCTTGACGCCGCACATGAGGGCTGTGGCGCAGGCCGACGACTCGCCCACTTGGGCGTCGGCGTTGTACGTCTGCAACAACAAGGAAGGCGATGGTGAAAGAGTGAGCATGGCGGCCGTTTGGTGGTGGAGGGGTAAGGGGGGGGGGGGGCGAAGCAGCCTTTGGCTGTGTAACATGTCATGCCTCTTCCCTCCTCTGCTCGCCTCCCCTTGCCCCTGCATTGCGCTGGTACAACGCTTCTACCCCCATCTAACCCCATCCAATGGCCTTTTCACCCTTCCGTATACTACCCATACCCAGCTCCATCTATCCGCTCTGACCCCTGTCGCCCCTCGCCTCCTCTACCCCTTATCCCAAACAAAAATACTCCCTCACTCCGTATTTTCTCCTCATCCTCCCCTTCTCCCCTCCCCCCCTTCTCTCTCTCTCTCTCTCTCTCTGCGGTCGGGCTTCTCTAATGGGCCGTGAAGGCGTAACGCGCCCGAAGCAGAGGGGGTGGGGGGAGGTTGCACTCGTATTTAACTCGCGATAGTTTATGTCCACCGCTGTAATCTGGGCCGACCTTTCGACTTGTTTGGCCCCCCTTCCCCCCCGTGTTGTGTCATGTACCGCTGCCGGCCCCGCGGGGGGCCAGGCCCAGGCCC